TAGACTTAGTAAAGGACAGCAGCCCTCACCACTGTGGGCAGACATCATTAAATCTACTGAGGCCCCAGAGAGAGCATGACGACAGAGAAAAAGTAAAAAGGTGCAATCACTCCCCTCTAAGCTGAGCACCCACCTTCTCCTGCCCAGGTGGTCTTCAGCACTCTGGGTTGAAACTTTGAACCCCAGGACTTACACCAACATCTACTCCCCACAAATAAATGAGCAGTTAACAGCTCTGAACACAGGGAACAGCAGTGCATTTGCACAAATGATAATAAGAGGCTACAACACCAACAAAGATGGAATTTGGTGATATTTTTAAATATAGTACATGAAAAGCACAAAATAATATACATCACAGATTATGTTACCACGTATTCCCAAGGAAGCACTTATAATCTGATCACCCAAGTTAAGAAGTAGAACATCAGTGCACATTTTACCTACTTCTGTATTCCTTCCTCCATCCTGATAGAACTACTTGATTTTGGCATTCCACTGTTTTCTTCCAAAATGATCTGCTTATTTTTAAGACATAAAATAAGCACTCCTGTTAAAATGGTAGTGTATTATTCTACTATTATATTACTATTTCTATAGAACTCAACAAATACATTAGTTTGCTAGGACTTCCATTACAAAGTACCACAGATTAGATAACTTAAAGATCCGAAATTTATTTTTTCACAATCTGACTTCTGGAAGTCTGAGAACAAGGTTTGGAAAGATGGATTCCTTCTAGGCCTCTCTCTGTGGGTTATTGATAATTGTCTCTACATGCCTTCTTTCTGTACATGTCTGTGTCATAATTTCCTCTTCTTATAAGAACTCCAGTCAGGCAAGGAGCATGGCTCAAGTGGTAGAGCACCTATCTAGCAAGCTCAAGGCCTTGTGTTCAAACTCCACTATGGCCAAAAAAAAAAAAAAAGTCATGTTGGGTTAGGGCCAATCTCATAACTCATTTTAACTTCATTACCTCTTTAAAGACCCCATCTTAAAATACATCCTTCTGAAAGATTAGGGGTCAGAATTTTGAAGGGACACAGTACAACTTCCACAAACAAACTTATAACTCACATTTCCTTCAACATCTAGTTTTTAAGCACTTTGCTTTATTGGGTAAATAAACTACAGGATGTGCATTTGATGGAATAATATAATTGTCATAAAAATGAAGTGACCATAAAACTATTCTGCAGAAAAAAAAGTTTCTATGAACCTACGTGGTCACCTTTACTAATGCTCTTTATTTCTTCATGTGGATTTGAGTTACTATCTCGTGTCCTTTCATATCATCAAAGGTCTCCCTTTATTATCTTGTTGTTGTGTTGGGTGGGGTACATTGTGGCACTTACAAAAGTTCTTACAATGTATCAAATACATCATACTTGGTTTCAGTCCCTCCATCATTCTCCTTTATCCCTTTTCCCCCATTCCTGGAATAGTTTCAACAGAAGGAAGTTAAGAAGATGAATACAGATGATCTCTATATAAGATGAATATAGAATTTTTATTATCCTCATAGTGCAGGACAGCCAGCAACAAAGTCTCTATAGCATTGTTCATAGAATATATTGATTTCCCTTTCATTCATGGAAGGTAATTTTGTTGGATATAAAGGTTTTGGTTGACAGTCTTTTTCCTTCAGTGCTTTGAAAATGTCTTGTCATTGCTTTTGGCTCCCATGGTTTTCAAGGATAAAATGCCTGTTAATATTATTGAGGATCACTTATCTGAGATGAGTTTATTATCCCTTGCTGCTTTCAGGATTCTCTTCATTATTGTGCATCAGCCGTTCGTGATGTGTCAGAGGGTGAATCCCTTTCAGTTCACCTTACTTGGAGTTTTCCAAGCTTCTTGGATGTGTCAGTTAATGGTTTTCATTAAGTATATTTTCAGCCATTACATCTTCAAATATTCCTTCCTCTCCTTTCTCTCTGTGCTCTTCTTCCGAGACTCCCACTATGCACATGGTATGCTCAATGGTGTCCCATGGCCTGTGAGGCTCTGTTCATGTTTCTTTCCTTTTCTTTCTATTCCTCAATAATCTTGCTTGTGCTTGCTGATTTTTAAGCTCATTGATTCCTCCTTCTGCCAGCTCAAATATGCTAAGTCTCTCTACTGAATTTTTCTTTCCTTTATTGTACTTTTCAGAATTTACATTTGTTATATATGTATATAATTTGCATTTCTTTATTGATATTCCCTATTTGGTGAACACTTGTCTTCTAACTTCCTTTGGTTCTTTAAACACAGCTTGCTTTTGTTCTTTTCATTTTTGTTTTTTTGTTTGTTTTTTTTTTTTTGGATGGTACTGGGGTTTAAACTCAAGGCCTCATGCTTGTTAGACAGGCACTCTACCACTTGAGCCACTCCACCATTTAGCACATTTAAAACAGATGATTTAAAGTCTTTGTTTACTGAGTCCAGTGCCTGGACTTCCTCAGGGACAATTTCTATTGATTTCTTTTCTGCCTGTGTATGGACCATACTCTTTTTTCTTTGCATGGCTCATAAATGAAAATTGCCATTTTAGATAATTTGCCAACCCTGAAAATAAAATTCTCCTTCCATCCCAGGAATTTGTTTTTTCTTGTTTGTGTTTTCAGTAACTTTCCCGAGATAATTCTGTGACCTCTGCACTCTTTTTCCATATGGTCATTAATGTCAATGTTGATTGAGGAATCAGCTAGTAACTGGCCAGATTTCCTTAAAAGCCTGGAACCAATAACTTTCCCAGTCTTTGTCAAAAGACTCTGCATCCATTGTGGGGATGCCTTCAACACTCAGCCAGCTGCTTTACAACTCTGCCTTAGCCTTCACTTCCTGCTTGCACAAGCTTCAAGGTCAACCAAAGGTGAGAGCACAGGCTTTCTCAGATCTTTCTTGGACATGTGCACAGCTCTCCACACACATGTGTTAACATGAGTTAACTTACAGAGATCTGGAAGGCTTTGCTTTGTCAGTCTTTGCCAGTGTGCTCAGTGCTTTCATAGAAGGGAGAGATTTCTGAAGTCTTCGTTCCATCATTCTGATAGCCTCCTTTTGGCTGCATCCTGGGCAATTTCTTCACACCTAATTCCTAAGATTCTAATTCTCTCTCAGCCAATGCCAATCTTCTGCAAAATATCTCTTTAGATTTTAACTGCAGCAGTGATGTTCATTTCTAGTTCTATTTGGTTTTTACATAGCCAGAAATGAAATTCTAGGTGGACTTTATATTAAGTTATTTAATTACAACCAGCAACAATTATTTAATATTCAAGCTACCCGGAGCTGTGATAATACCTGGAGAAAACAAAAGGATAACCAATAAACAAAAGGAAAATCTGGGGGAAAATGTTGATACACTGATACATTCCTAAACACACGCATGTTTAGGGCTGTGCCCATACTCACTCTCTTTTCTAGTTACTGTATATATAAAAATTAAGTTATTTTAGCATCCTTTGTCCTTAACTTCCCATTTGTGCCTCATTCTGAACCCACATATTCCTACCATTCACAAGCACAGACACAGGGACTCAGAAGAGAATCATTTGAGGAATAAAAGCAAAGCAGTATTGATCGGTTCTTTTTGGTACCTAGAAGCCCTGCAATACTTATTTTAGAGGCTTAAGATGGGGCTTTTGTGGGTCAACTAGGGAACGGTGAAGAGGGTGGCATTATGGTTTTCAGACTAAGAGGAAGAGCTCGGGGCCAGAGTGGCTGCTGCTGGCCTGGGCTCCTACAGTTGCAGCTGAGTCAATCATGTAGATCCCTGGCACTCCCAGTTTCTTCTTCCTGACACAAGGAGCAAGCACAATGGTGCAGGCACAGTTTTTAGCTCTGAACTCTTCTGTGTAAACACCCATTTGTCCCCTCTGCATTCAGTACAGCCAGTTGCTCAATACATTTTGTTGGCCATCCTAGTGGATGACACACTGCCTGCCTGGCTTCCGTAAATGAATACAGGGCCACATTACAACTACCATGAGTTCTTGGTAGTCTTGCTTTTGTGGTCCTTGACTCTCCAAAATTTCCTCTTAATTATATTTTATAATGATATTGGTACAAACTTCTACCTGAAAGATTGTGCTAATTCAAATTTTAAAATAAATTTAAACTTTTTCAGGAGCCCCTTAAAGTATCAGGAGCCCCAATGTGCCCACTTGCCTAACAGAGAAGTCAGTCCTGAATGAACTGAATAAAGACTTCCATTTCCAGAGAATTTTTATAAAACAGATAACTGACCTCAGAAAAAATGCACAAGTGGCCCTCACCATATTTTACAGCAAACCTGGAGCCTCGTTCTCATTTCTAAGCTGGTTAGAGCATCCTTCATTCTGCCACCTCACATTTGAAAGAAAGCTATCATGATCCTCAGCTGCCAGTAATTCACAAAGATCTTGCACAAATTAGAAAAAGGTTTCTCATCTTTAAGACTGAGAAACCATCCTTGCTGAGCTTAGGGAAAGTGAAAACTCAGGTGGGCATCTCCTCCAACGTCAGGTGGGGGATCAGAGTCATGGTCTGTGCAACATGGCAGGTAGGAGAGGAGCACTAATCCACTACTCCATTAGGCCTCCAGCTTAAAGGAAACCTAAGTGTAGTTCCATAAGCCAAGTTCATTCAAGATTGTGGTCAAAGAACTTGAATTCAGTTAGGACACAGTCAAAGCCTGGAAAAGCAGTGGAGGCCAGAGCTGTGATCTTGGGGCTCTTCGGTGCAGAGTGGACACACAGCCACACACACGTGCACCTGTATGCATGTGCATGGGTGCTCTCCTGGGTTCCAGCATGGCTGTGTAGGATGCAAATCAGCACTTATCTCATCGCTCCCCAGGGTTCCACAGGGAGTCCTGGAGCCTCATGACACATGAGTGTGGGTCTACAACACAAATGACAGTTTCAGATCCTTATGCAGGTCACGGTATAAACAACTGCTGTGCTCCCTAAGTCTCTGTGGCTTTGGAAAGCCCACCCTCACATATGCTAACACCTCCACTTTGCTCTCCACAGGGATGACATGCCAAGCTCGAAGCTCCTACATCACCAGTGAGATCCTGTGGGGTTACCGGTTCACACCTGTCCTGACGCTGGAGGACGGATTCTATGAAGTTGACTACAATAGCTTCCACGAGACCTATGAGACCAGCACCCCATCCCTTAGTGCCAAAGAGCTGGCTGAGCTAGCCAGCCGTGCAGAGCTGCCCCTGAGTTGGTCTGTATCCAGCAAACTCAACCAACATGCCGAACTGGAGACTGAAGAGGAAGAAAAGAACCTCGAAGAGCAAACTGAAAGAAATGGTGATGTGGCAAACCTAGAGAACGAATCCAAAGTGTAGACCCCTTGCTGGACGACCCCTTCTCTTTCACCCTAGACATGACCGCTCCTTGTCTCTCATTTTCTTTCTTTTCTGTCTCACTTACTTTGTTCTTTACTTATATTTAATTTTGACATTACCAGAAAACAAATCTTCAAGGTGTAAAATATCTACCTGCCCTCTCTCAGTTGTTTAGATTGACAAGTAGACATGGATTTGGTTATGATGAAGTTTGCCCTCATTTGTGGCCAAAAATAACAACACTTAACTCCTAGAGATTTAAGCTACTAACTTGCATGTGTTGTACAATACAGATCACTCAAAAGAGGTAGCAAAGATTTTACCTGGGATGTGACAAGGAGGATCTCCAGTGCCTATGTATCATACAGCGAGTCATAGAGAATAACCCTCAATTTTATATCTCAATACATCTCATCTAGTACAGGGCAGGTGCTTGCCCACTGGGCACTGCAAGTGTAGGACCCAGGTGAGCTAAAGACAAACTGTTGTACATATATATGCCTTATATAGTTATTTTCTTTTGGCAATTATTAATAAAACCCAGCATGTACAAAAGTACTGTAGAACAGAACTTCTAAATAATGTACATAGAAGTATCATTGACGTAGTTTTAGAAATATAACTTTAGAAATAAGAAGAAAAAAAGATTCCCAATGTACAGTAGGCATTTCTGTTTTGATATCTGTGTTGTCTGGATTATTTTGATCCCTTTGACTACTGGCCTTTCTGTGCATGGCCTTTGCTCTGGGTCCCAGACTGACAGCTGTTAGGGTACCTCTCTGTTCCTTCTCTGACCCTTTTGTTAAATCTAATAAGCCATAGGTGTGGGACCATTGGAAGGTCTAGTAGATGGCAAGACCCACTACCAAAATGCTGATATACTGTGACATGTTTACAAAACAGGCGTCATTTGTTTCACGATAACAAGGGCCTCAGTAACTAGTCTGGGAGAGAATATCAGATTGTCCAGCATGTCACCAATGACACGTTGATGTTTGTCATGTGAGCTTTTGCCCTTTGGAACACAACAGTTTAGGAATGTTTCTGCAAAACCATTGACTTTCCAGCTGTTCTACTCTACAATCAGGAGAAACTACAACCTGTTAAAATGGGAGAAACTACAGACTATTGAAATGAGACATGATAAATTAACAGAAGATGGTTTGGGTGTAAAACCATGAAATTTGGGGAGGTGTGTAGTGGGTGCCATATACTGTAATCACTGACCTCTTACTCTTTGACCCTTTTTGGTTCTCCAAAAAGATATCTTGCCTGTGCCTGGGGGCTTACCCATCACCATTTCCTGCATTGGGATTTTTTTGTTCTTCTTTCTCTATTATTATTATTATGAAATGACCAGAGTTCAGTATTCAAAGATTAGATCAATAGTCTAGGTGACAATCTAAGAAATCTCTCTAGAGTGTGTCACTATTTAAAAATCAAGTCCAAAGTGTCTCTCCATCAAAAGAAAAAAAAAGTAGCTTTAAATCATTTTAAGCTGAAAAAAAAAGGAAGGGAGGAAGGAAGGAAGGAAAGGGTATTTTACACTAAAAATCTAAATTTTAAAAAAAGAAGAAGAAAAGGAAGAGCATCTTAGACAAAACCTCAGGGGCAGGTAGAGATTTTGCACTGTAACAGATCGTTCACATTAATTTTGCATTTGTAAACTGTTTGTTCTTTAACACAGTTGCCCATCATCAATATTCACTGAATGGATCCAAGTTTATTTTCAGCTCCTACAGCTGTGTGCAGTTTGAGGCTTTGCACCATGGAGGTCAAAGAGTTCAAACTAGCTGTTCCTCTGTGTTTCCCTGCCCATCCCTGACTAGACTGCACAGGACTTTGCTGTAGTTTGGGGACCTTTTCTACTAAGAAGGATACCCCACAGATAAGGAAAGTGTCTCCTCCATTGAACACCAGGGTCTTCTTCTCCCACTGCAGAGAACTTGCATCAGGACACCTGCTGTTTGGCACTGATTACACAGAAACAAAGTTGTTGGCCATAGCCCCTTCCTGCCTGCCAGCATTTCTTTTTGGCACCAATTATCTGTTGAGTCATCTATTCATTCCACACACTCCAAGCAGGAGGCGGTGAAGGAGGAGGGAGCCCAATACACTTCCCATCAGGCTGTGGAAGGCACCATGGCAGACCTCACCCTAGCTTTAGGAAGGGCACCTGGGCTTGGGGCAACAACCTGCAGTATCTCCAGGGTTGCAGGGTAGGGCACGTGCAGCACAAGCAAGGTGGAGGAGGACTGTGGATCGCCTGCTCGTTTAGCTCTTGAAGACCCATTGGGCCTTTTCAAATCCATTCTGAGATTTGAAGGACAAACACTCCCCACTGTTGGGTTGGAAGAGCAGTTCGGGGCCTGCTCACTTCTTGCCTGCCCATTAGCACAACTAAATGAAGAGCCTTGGCTGTAATACCTGGGTCACACATATGTATCAGTTCTGTGTCCGCAACAGGGCACCTGGCTGGGAGGTCTCTCTGGGCTTCTCGCTGTCTTTGTGTCAATGTAGTTGAGACAGAACTAGAACCAAATCTTGCTCTGTGCGCTCTGAATCTTTCTTTTTATAATGTGCGCTTCAGGAGGATGCTCCTGAAGGACCTTTTATTAGAACGTCCTTATCAAACATGTCTATTTTTCTACAGTTATTGAGAACATGGTTTAACAGTGTATTTTGTGTCAATTGTTAAAATTTGGAACTGAAAGAAGTTCGTTAAGACTAAATTTTCTAAGCAGCAAGCAGTGAATAGGGTTTTTCATTAAGACAATTCAACAAAATTGACCCAGTTTCTCCCTTTCCTATTCTAAAATCCCCAGTCTTGTCACACAGTCAGTCCACACACTAGCAAATCAACTGCTATGACCATAAATAAGCCTATTTTAATGCAACAAATTTCATAACTAATGAAGGTCACGCTCTACTTGATATTTCAGGCTATTTGGTTGGTATCATTGAGTCACATTTTCATAAAGTGTGGTGGGATCCATGAGTCAAATAAGAACTTGAACTATAGGGTGAGAGTTTGCCACAAGTGACCACAATCTCACAGAGCAAAGTGCTCCTAGAGAAAAGGGCAGGTTGAGCTGGAAGCATGACCTCCCCAGTGAGAATAGCATCTATTCATTTATAGGCCAACTCAAGTAACCAATAAAACTGTTCATATTTTGGGCTGTCCCCTATGCAAATGACACCCTTGCTTTAACACATTTGCCTCCACTGTACTGTCAGCTCATTGCTTTTTCATGCCTTCAAACATGGCACTTCAGCCTGGTTGTCACATGTAGTTACTAGATGTCCATGAAGTGGAACCCTGTATTCCTCCTCTGTCCCTCCCTTTTCCTCTTTCTCTAGTTCTCTGGCTCCAAATCTATTGCTTTAATTCAGTCTCTTAGTTTCCCTAGCAGAAATCCAGCTACTGTCTCCAAAATGTCAACCTATGTCTTAAGCACAATTTTCTCTTACAGTTTTAACAAACCTAGAAATTTGACATCTCTACTTTATTACACTCTAATTTAAATATTAGTTCTGACTTCATCTAAAATTAGCCTAAATTTTCAAGTCTCAGAGCAGCATTCTTATGCTTCTCCTTTCTTACATTTTCTTAGATTTCAGTTTTCTCGCTTTCTTTCCCCTCCCCCTTTTGCTTTTTTATCACGATTTAAGTGCATATCTTTGGGATTTTCAGACGGTGTTTACAAAGGTGGGAGAAAGCATAAGAAAGGCTTTGGAAAATCCATGAACACACTGGAAAAATGTGAGATCATTTGAATAGCTGAGGGAACAAATTAAAATACTCAGAGTAAGTCACTTCCAAAACAACTTGTTTTGGACATTTTGTTATCTCTTTCCTTGACTTGGGTGACACTCTGTATGATTCAGAAGACTTGGGAAGCAGTTAGAAATTAAATGTTCTATTCATCTGACCAGCATTGCCTTCTATGATGATTTCCTACTGATGGATGGCTCTAAAGTTGAAAAACATGGGCAACATATACATAATAGGTCATTCATATTTCATCACAGTGTGGTCAAAGGGTAGAAAATGCTACCCTTTGATTTTCAATTGAATAGAACATTCCTATCCCCAATATTTCTGACCTCTGTGTCTTGGAGGGCTTTTGATACAAAGTATCATGTAGAAGTCAAAATTCAGTCAAAGGCTAGTAAGATGTGGACAGGCACAGCACACACAATGATAACATCTTACCAGACATTGTGTGGTCAATTCAGAGCATTCACACAAATTACCTCATCTCATTCTGATCCACCATGGGAGGCTGAGTTTTATAATTTACATTTTCATAGTTGGAAAACTAAGGTTTTGACAAATCAAGTAACTTCCCCAAGGTTACAAGGTCAGTAAGTCATAGATTCTGGTCTTAAATACAGGTCACAAAACTAAAGCCATGAGCTGGTTTTGCTACAAAAAAAAAAAAAACAGTTTTGGCAAAACAAATCTACTATTAGAATCTAAACTGTTATTACATCTTGTGAGCTGAGACTGATTTTCACATAATAAATGGGGTGTGTAGTGAGAACAGACCAAGAATATCTGGGGACACATGAAATTGAAACCTTAGTTGGTCCTTAAATAAAGTTTTATTAGAACACAGCTATGCCCATTTGTGCATGAATTGCCCACAGCTGCTTTCACCCTACACTAGCAGAGCTGAGTGATCATAAAAGACTGAAATATTTATTTAGTATTTATTTCATATTAATCATTAAGCACTTAATAGTATTAATGGTACTATTATAAGGAATTCTACTAGACTGGTAAGAGACTCCTGGGGAACATAGAAGAATAACATTCTTTCTTAGGATGAATCTACTGGAATCACACATAGGTCTATTCCAGAAAAGAACTGGATTTGCAGTGGTTGGCACACATCAAATCAGCCTCCCCTTCCTCCATGGCTCCATTCCTACACTATGTTAGAGGAGAACTAACAAGGCATCTCTTGCCTCCTTCTTAGTTTCCTCTAGCCTACATCCACAATTGATGACTGTGATGAAGAGGACCATGGAACTATTCACAGCTCATATTTAATTAGATTAGTTCTGGCTCTCTCTGGCCACTCAGTTAGAAGCTAAACACACAAACAAAGAACCAAATGCTTCTCTTGGAAACCCAAGAGGTTCTTTAAAAAGAGCCCAGGGAGATGCAGAGGGCGTTAAAGTGTTGATGGATTGTGTGTCACTTTCTGAATGTGGAGCTCAAGATAAAGATTGGTAATTACAGAAACATTGAATGGACTAAATCCAGACAGTGGGGTTTTTAGATAAGTTAATATTAAATGACATTCTTTAGTGTCAGTCACTTGAACTCACTTGTGTCCTAAGGAAGCATTTCTAACGCCAGACATAGCCAAGTTTGGTTCTTCATCTTATCAGTTCTATTGAAAAACATAGCAAATTCTGAGTTCTGAGTATTTTCCTGGAAATTAGATGGGAAAGAAACTATTTTGTAACAAATCATGGTGTGTTGAATTGTTGATAGATAAATGATGGATTTGGTCCTATGTCTGCAACTAATAGATTATGGTGTCTGCAATATGGACCATGCAAAACGTTTACAACCCTTCAACTGCATGGAGGAGAGAAACAACTAAATCACAAATCTCAGAGTTCAACACCATAAAACTTAAATAAATGTAAAAGGAGCCAAACTTGTACTTGGCCTGATTGCCTGGGTAAAGAAAGCTATGTGCATCCACCTAATTCAAACAGGAGAGACCTAGGAAAAAGAAAGAGAAATGCTTTTAAGACACAGAAGACTAGTCAGTTGGGTGGTCAACATGACGAAGTGGTGGAGGTTTTGTCACTGTTGAAATATATCTGTGTAAGTTATTCTTAGACACTCTACCCCTAGATTTT